GCCACAGCCAAAATGACCCATACGACAATATCTTCCACAGCAGCCAATGAAATCGTTTGAATACCGATTGGTTCATCCAACATATTCATCGAATTGAGTAATGTCGCCAATACTGGAAATGCCGAAAAACCAAAACCAGAAGCTAATAATCAAAGGCACTTCGTATCAATAAATTACATCTCGCATTGCCTCACCGATGAAGAGAATAAAAGCTGCTTTACTTGTCGAAATCCCATCGTTCAATTCATGGAACCATATGGCTACTCCACATCCAATGCTCACTAAAACATAGACTGCGCATTCAATGCGAACGGCGAATCGTACATACCGGGAAAGATTATACTGGAACATGCTACAGGAATTGTCACTTTCCAGTTCGCTTTGATTTGAGACAAGTCAAGTTCCAATCCAAGGAAGAACATGAAAAAGATTAAGCCAAGATTAGCAACTAATTGAAAGATTTTCAAACTCGATGCAGGCCAAATGGCAGCAGACCAACCTGGGACATATCCTAGAACAATATCACAGAAGATACAATCCAACTCAGTACCAATGTTGTTTTTTCTTTGCGTACCGAGAATGGATGGACCAAAAATTATGCCCGCTATGATTTGACCAATCACTTGTGGTTGTCGAATGAACGACAGAATTTTAGCAAGAATTTTACACACGACCAATGTAAAAAACACTTGCATCAGAAACATTGCCAAGGCTGATTCATGAGGGTTTTCAAACAGAACCACCATTACAATCAACGAATTTTATCTATAGTTTAGACTTTATCTGAAAAAGAAGATCAAATGACAGTTGTTTTCTTTTAGCAATAGAATGTAGCAATCATCCTTCTCTCGGTATCATAACAAAGTCAAACTTAAAAAAGAAGATCTTTTGAAATCTTCAGAATGGCTCGATCATCTCATGACATATCGAGACCTCTTTAACACACCCTTGTAAAAAAAACATTTGACCAAATCTATTCTTTCGAGACTGTTCGAAACTAGTCTGCGGACTTTTATCTTTCGAAATCGGAATTTTCTTTTGGAATTTTTGCAAAAGGAAACAAAATAATGATCTAGGGCACTTTTTTTATTATAAAGCGGATGAAAAGAAAGGTATCGGGTACTGCAGCAGTGAAGATAGAAATCGTGACGATGTTAACGATACACTTCCCAGTTACATCGGATGGAACTGTCCTTTGGGCTCGTTCGATAACTCAATAGTCATGAGCCAATGAGGTGATGTGAATAAAAAGCACTTGTAACTCAACCGCTCTGAACAAAAGAATTATGTGCCTAGAATTGTGATTTCAATAGTCTATCTTCAGAAGATCGCAGAGAAAAATCTTTGCCAACAAAAGCAACAGCAATGACAGCATGATAAACTACTGATGAGAACAGAAAAGGTAATATTATCGCTCTAGAAAATAACAAAAAATTGAAAAAAACAATTGATTCGAATCAAAGAGTCGATCTGTGACAAAGAGAATGATTTGTTTTCTGACGAAAATTAGATCGTCTAATGCAAAAGCCAAATACTCATTAGTGTTAGTGTCTTCAATCATTAAGACGATCCATCAATGAATCATGAAGGAATTAAAACTTAAGTGTCGCTAATAGTGAAGAAAAAGAAGAGCATTAAGATGAAACAAGACTCATTCTTTTGATGACTGCACTTGATATATATGAACATGTGCGCTTGACCAGTAGGCTCTTTCTATCGGTTTTCATTAGATGCTCAAGATGAACTTAATTCATGCTAGATATTTCAGCTTGGTTCAAGGTGAATTAAGTTGCGTCTAAGTAACAATGAGATATAAGGATTGGAATCCAATCAACTATTGTCATTGCTCAATCTCATGCCAATATCTATAACGACAAATGGAGATGTATGTGCACCTGTACCTTTCGGTATGATATTTATTTGGCTACGTACACTCAGAACCAACAGCAAAGAACAAGTGTTCGGCTCAATAAAAAAAACTTTCAGATCGAGCTCAAAATCAGATATAGCAGTTTTGCTTGAACTTGCTATTCGGCATTGTAGTGCTGTCACCACAATTTTTGGTATACCCACAATGGATGAAAGAAAGGAGACCGCTTTTAGCAACGAACTAGCTAGTATCATACATTCATAATCTACAAGCCAATCGTGAAAAACACTCATGCCTTCCGCATACTTCTTTTCGATAAATGTAACAAGAGCCAAACATTTACCAGAGAAAAAAACTTTGGAATTCTTTCCTTTACTTGGAGAACAGCTAGAACTAAAACTGCACAATTTTGCTCACATAAAGAAATGTAACTAATTTATTTTACTTCAAAAAATTGTTTTTCGATTATCTGTTTTCTTTCATTAAAAAGGGATATGTATTTAAAAAGCATAATTACAGTGGAAATAATCGAAGCACTAATTATACTAATGCGGCATCGATTTTAATTGGTTAATATCGAACTTAATCAATTTTAATTCGTTAATAATAGCAGATCAATGTTTTATTGATTATTATCGATTGCACTTTATTTCAATCGATTTTTAATCAAAAATCAATCGATTATAATCTGATTATTTCCATATTTTTTTACATGGGTTGTACATCTGAAACTGTCGAAACGACATTCATCTTCGATAAGGATTAAGAAAGTTCAGAAGAGTCTAGTCTTGAATGTTTATCGAACGTTAGTGACTACACATTTCGTGGCATGCGCGTTTATGACACCGTTAAATCTTCTCTTGCTCAGTCACATTTCGAATTGATAACCAATGGACAAACAAAACTTTAACGTAAGCAAACGATTTGCTGCGTGTTAACGCATGAGAAATCATCGCTCTTATCGGATCATTTTAGACGTGTTAGGGTGAATAAATAATACGATTATTTTTGTCTATCTGGAAATATATTCTGAAAACTAAGTAAATTGATTTGTTTCATTCCACTCTCATCATCGGTGCCACAGACATATGTTGATGTAGAACGGCAGACACTATTTCGTTTTGTCTAATCAATTTTAGGTGTATTTAAGGACTCAGTGTGATCTAATAAAGTAGCTACGCTTTTATTAAGTATGTGTCAGAAAATATTGATGTAAAGCATTGTGATCCACGCGGTTCTAGACTTAGAAGCATAGCAGATTATTTAACATCTAGACTGTGGTAAAAACAAGCTAATGAACAGACGACATATACAACCATTATTAAACATAACTTATCTACTAAATTAAATTTTATCAATAACATCATATTTCAGTCAAAAACAAAATAGTCTTTAATGAAAAAATATCTGATTTCAGCTATTTCTCCCTTGATCAGGACGCTTATCTCCTTCCTCGAAAGATTCGAGCATTTCTAAAAAAAGTTTGAGCTTCATCAAGAAAACCTTTGAGTCCTTCTCTAATAGTATCATCAATGAATGCTGTCCTTCTTTGACAAAATAGTTTGTATAGAGGCTATCAAATTCATGTCTTAAAGCAGATCGTCAAAAATTTCTTGATATCAGAGTCCAACTTGACGGACTATGGTGCATTACAATCACGGCAGACGCATGTTAAATTCTGTACTCAAACCTAGTCGTCTGAAACACATCTTGATTAACACGTTCAAATGCGTTTTTGCATCAAATTCCTAAATGAAAACTATGCGAAACGGTTTAATCGACGGGAAAATTGTCGAAGACAAGTTCTAACGCATTAAAACGGGATAAACGCAGGTAAAAACTCGTTAAAACACCAGTTCGATTGTTTAATTGCCTAGCTAGGTAGGAAAAACGTATATAAAAACGGAAGCTCATCCCTCAATAGTTTACTTGGTCTCGAAACACAAGTGTGCATCAAATTATTTTCGACATCGTTGTAAGCCTTGCTCAAATCGAGATTTTCCGAAGACTAAATAATCGCATTTATTTTGAAATTGAAGAACAAAATATTTGCTTCAAAAATAGTCTCGTTTAATAAAATAAGTATACCGATAAACATATTATTCTCATGTGACATCATATCTCTCGTATACTATACAATTGTATTGTATGATATAACTGTTAGAGGTTCGGTTTGTACTGATAAACGCATTTTTGTTATGATATCATCACTCTTTCTGCTCTCGCTCTTTCGTTCTTATTTTCTCTCTACCATTCTTTCTCTTTTCATCCTTCCTCTCGTATCTAAACTCGTGTTCTGTGTAAAATGGATGCACTTGGAGATAGAATATAGCTGAATAAGCGTTGTGCCTTAAGGTAAAGCACAGGCGCACATGGCTCTCCCTTTATCATTACAATAAGAGCTGATGGTTTTTGAGTGACTGAATCGAAATTCGATTGTTTATTATATATTTAGTCGACAAAGGTGGCGATGCTTTCCACTATCATCTTAGCACTAACAGATTGACACGAAAGATGTTTAGACTTTTCTATTGCTCAATATCGCTTCAAAAACCAATGAAATCTTATTTTAAATTGAAAGTCGAAGTGAAGAGAAGAAGAGTAAGGAAATCGAAGAAATACTCCGTAAAATCTCAATCGTCAAACGAAAATTTCTTAGAACAAATACCTATGCATATTTGCGAAAGGAGAGGAGATGCCCTCATACCACTTTTGACACTCCTACACATCTTAGTGGTTCTACAGACAGTCCTATGGATGTCGGAATTATTTGAAAAACAACATCGAACTTCTCTTTGACAATGCCGACAGAAGAATTTTAATACGTAGTTAGATGAGGAACGAAAGAGACATGCGATTTTTCTCTTTCGGTTTGGTTCGGCAAAGTGCATTTGTTCTTCTTCTTTGACGCACTATTTCTATTGATCCTATCCATATTGATTCATCATGAAATAAGAATTCTTTCTATGAACTTCTCACTGTGTAAAATTGTTGCTGGTGTGGACCAACTGCATGTGTTTTCATTGAGACAAAACTCAACGAGAATTCTCTTGACTCGCAACGTTTCTCGAAGACACTGACACTCTGAGTGTTGACTTTCGACGGATGAATATCTTGCCACGTGTTAGCCAATGGATCAGAAGTAGTCGAAATCATAAAAGAGGTCGAATGAAGTTGTTGTGTAATGTAATCTGGATGATTAATGTTCGGTGGAATGGATGAAAAGATCGATCTTCCGCTCAAAAACGAATTTTCGTCGTAAAAAAGGCAAGTACAAATAGTCTTTGTTCGAAGATGAAGAGACACTCTTGTGTATCTGATGGATTTCTATTCTTGGAGGTCGTTTACGTGTATCAATTGTTGGTGATGAGAGAGATGATGATGATGATAACGACAACGACGAATGAAAACAATAAGAATCAGTGCACAAACTAGAAACGCATATCGAATGAAAACATTCAACCATGTGTGTGTTTATCAATTCTTGTCAATGACGAAGTTGATCTTACTCTTAAGAGTTCGCCTCGAGAGAAGTTAATGCACTTGACTGGCATACCTTGATGATTAAACATAAACCATGCATCGTTCTTCGCCATTTCGTTTCATTTCGTACCGATAAGACAATAATGAGACAGATAATGGCCAAGGTTTCTATCCTCTCTTTAATAAAAAAAATACCTGTTGACATGGAGTGTCTTTGGGATTCGAATTTAAAAACCTAACTGAAATATGCCCATCCTCAAATAATGGCAGCTGAGAAGAAAAGTTCTCGACGAAAGACAAGCAGCTCGTTTGTTTAGTTGCCATTTCAGATTAATCTTTCACGAAGTACCTTTTGTTTGAAAAAATTTCGATGACGAAAATTCTGCTCGAAAGTCGAGAGAATCTGATATTTCGCTTATCATACTCGAATTGATTGAGGTTAAATTAGGTTGCTAAATCTTTCGCTTAATGAATGAGCTCATTTGACTAGAAACCACTAATTTTGATTATAATTTCTTAGATCACTCGAAACGGGGTGTGGGTGTGGGTGTGAGTGTAGGCGTGAATCTTCTGTTTATTAACATCCACTCCCACACCCACACCCACACCCACACTCATACCGATACCCAAACCCAAACCCACACCCACACTCACACCCCACACACACCCACACCCACACCCACACCCCACCCACACCCACACCCACACCCACACCCACACCCACACCCACACCCACCTACACCCTTATTTTCCATCGAATTATCTTTATAATTGAGTAAGTGAGAACAAGTGAATATGGAAATCACAACCAGTTTCAAGCAGAATATGACTGATGACAATTATACTCAAGAATATATTTTTGTTACACCAATCCCTCCATCAATTAAATTTGCTCTTTTACTAGCATTCGAAATACCATCATTATTTTGTCACTTATTCATTATCGTATACATTTTAACTCATAAAACTCTACGTTCAGCTCGAAATAATCATACTCTACTTATTCTCTTATTTCTTGGTTTTATTCATGTCAGTGTGGATATTTCATGCACTGTTGACTTTTTTTACCAACATACTATACTATTTCAATCCAAGGGGGAAAGTGCTGGCACCCAGCACCTCAGCACCTTCTCAGCACCGCAGCACCTTTTCAGCACCTCAGCACCTTCTCAGAACCTTTTCAGCACCTTTGGGTACTAAAGGTGCTGAGGTGCTCATACATTTTGTTCAAATATTAAAGGTTAAAGGTCAAAGGTCAGCACCTTGACCTTTGACCCCATATGGTATGATAGACTAATGCAAACTTTGATTAGAAAAAATTTACTCTTAAGGGAGTTATTAGCCCAAACGATTATTATATCAGTTAATAACTTAACAAGCTCTACAAATTGGTCTCACTAAAATTTAAAAAGTGATCATCGATTCTGAACGTTCCATCGTCAGTACCTCAGCACCTCAGCACCACCTCAGCACCTTTTCAGCACCTCAGCATCTTTTCAGCACCATCGGCCATAATTTGGTGCTTGGAACCTGCACTTTCCCCCTTGATTTCGATCTATTGTCTTCTGTTCGATTTGGCGATTTATCAACTTCGCCATTTGGGCAATGTGTATAATTCTAACAGCATGAGCTTCAATGGAACGACATATACTTATTTTTTATGATCGTTTTCTTAATATGAAATTAAAAAATCTGTGTTTTCATTATATACCACCTATTCTTATCCTTGTCTATGCCACATGTTTCTACATTTATAGTTTATTTATCTATCCATGTGAAAATACTTATGATTTTCAAAGTGTTCTTTGCAGTTTTCCTTGCTATCTAAATTTTGAGAAATTAGCTTTTTGGGAATTTGTTGTTCACTTCGTATGTTCATCGATATGTATTATAATATTTAGTATGGCTCTTCTAGTCCGTGTTCTTCTTTCAAGACGGCGTCTTCGACAATCACTCCATTGACGAAAACATAGTAGAATGGCTTTTCAACTTATTTCTATATCACTTCTCTGTACCATAACTATTCTCCCATTTTGTATTACCAACATGTTTGTTTTAGCTGGTTATTATGGATGGGCACAAGCACTCGAATATTGTAACTTTATTTGTTATTTTTATCTACTTGGCCTCCCTTTTGTATACATGGCTTTATTACCAGAAGTCTGGACAAGTATCAGAAGAATCTTTGTTCATCGTAACAATCGACGAACAGCTCAAATGCCAAGAAGTGGTTAACAAACATTGAATATTTTTCTCTCAATTGTATTGATTGCCAATTGACTAAAAAAAGTGAAAAATAGATGTCTTTTGCATCTTTTTATTTGACAGTTTACTCGGCGACCTTAACTAGTGCAACCTGAAGCTAGTAGAAACATTATGAGAGAACAATATCAATCTTTTCATAGATTGACAAGAAGAACATGAAAAAAATATTCCTTCGCAGAAACAATTCTCAAGTGATCAAAATGTTATCAAAAGTAGACAATCATCTATTTAGAAGCGAGGATAATATCAAATCATAATAGACATTTTAAATCATTCGTCATGGTTAGTATAAAACTGGAAATAGGAATCGGTTGTATTTATCACATCACTTGAATAAACACTAGTTTAACTTATGATGGAACATTTTCAGGTGTAAAACCGCTTTTTCCTTGCAACTATTGCCATTAGACAGGCTCTAGTGAGCAGTGAAAAAGTCCATTTTGGTTTTGATTTCTAGCCTGTTCTTGTCGAGTTATGTGTATTTTACTGAATTTTCAGCCGATGGAACTAATTTTCGGAGAACAGTGTAGATTGGGTAGGAGTGCCGAGTATATGTGAGTTGTGGGTGCGGATGTCGAATATCCATGTGAATGTGTGATTGTTTCGATGTCATTCTGGATCTTCTTTTCATCCACATCCACACCCACATCTGGAACTACACCTACACCCATTCTCTAATTATTCATCCACATTTATTGAATACTCATATTTTCTTTCTCTCTTTCTGTTGAACCAAAACATTAACAAACGAACGTTATGTCACGGTACCTGCTCTATGTGTTACTCTGCTTCTACATAGTAGAGTCAAAAAGAAAAAGGAAATAGTTTTATATGGATGAGTCATTTATTAAAAATTTTATGCTTAAAGAAGTATCGCATCGAGACACAAGGCGTTCTTAACTTCTTGTTTATTATGTATAAAGATTATTCAGTGTCATCAGGGTGGCTAGGGTGTGGGATGGGATGTAGGTGTGGGGTGTATGTGTGTGTGTGTTTTTGTTCTCCTTACTCAAACCTACACACCACACCCACATCCACGCTCACACACCCACATTCACACCCACATCCA